GAGTCGCTATTAAAAAGTAAAAGCTCACCCTGTGCCACAACACAAAAACAAAATAGACAACTTGTTAATCACCGTCCTGCCCCCAGAGCCATACCAAAACAACAAAAGAAGTGCCCTGGAGACTGCCAAGGACCACTCTACAGCCCGACGTGCAACTACACTTGCATATGGGTGTTGCCGAAACGGAAAGAGATGACCAGCGCCAGCACCCCATCAGCCTGCGAGATGACCAGCTCCAGCACCCAATCCAACTAGCCTGTGCGAAGACACAGCACTGGCACCGCCCGCGCGACAAGCTGCGCTACGGACCGATAGCGTTACAGAGAACGCCCATTTTATTCCATAATGTTCAAGGAAACTACGCCCCAGAAGGACATTACTAGATACATAATTATTGGGTACAACGTAAAATATGAGTTCTTTCTCTATGTTATGAAAATTTACTTTAACAACTATTTTTCCAAAAGTGCTTATTCTTGAACCATTTACTCCACAATACTCAGTTGGTCTTAGTACATCATCAAAATTTACATAAGGCATCGCCGCACGCTGCATCAAATTAATAGCGCTACCGGTGTCCAACATGGCAGAAAGAAATTTAATATGATACCTGCGTTTTATATCAGTGTAAAAATATACCCCTACCTGATTCATAATAGGAACAAACATATTGTGCTGCTCTCCGTCGTCCATCATCGGCTGGTTGCTGGCTGTATTCACGGATCGTTGAGTTGGCACAGGCTTCTGTTGGCAATCCTTCACCTTGTGCTGCATGGACCCACACTGGAAGCACGATCCCTTCTCCCGCAGAGGTGCGGGACACGATGAAGCGTAATGTCCATGCGCTGAACAATTATAGCAGCGCACCTGGTTCTGGTCAGGTCCTGATGCACTCATCTCAGAGCGCTTGAAAGTCGTCTGGGTACTCTTCCTTAAAGCCTCGTATTGACGGGCCAGCTCCTTAAGTTTTCCAATGGTATGTATGTATGTCTCGCGTGCAAAACCGGCCGTTTGCTTGTGGGTGAAGAAGCGCATTAATTGGCTCGGTGGTACTCAAGCTGCCGAGGGCTGTCGGAGGCGAGAGCGGGAGCGTGAGCGTGGGCGGGAGCGCAAGCGTGGTGAATATGCGCTCGAGAGCGCGTCACCGGGTGAAAAAAGCTCCTAAGCGTGAGCGCGAGAGCGAGGGCAACAGCTTGCGTAGCTGGATTGCTAACATTGGTGTGGCTGGAATGCCCACAGAGCTGTTGCCCCGCCAGCGCCGTCCTCACTCTAAACAATACCCAAACATTTTGAGCACAGTCCCCAAATAATGCAAATTTCCCCAAAATATGCGTTAGTTATACAGAATGTCCCGAAAGTGCGCACTGTACATACATATTATTGTCGCAGAATATCCACGGATGTTTATTTAATTCTTTGATTTGTTCCGCAGGTCAAATGTTAGTCCTCGATCGTGAGTTTGTAATTAAGGTTAATTGTAATTATATGTGTATATATATAAAATGTTAACTACTTAGGTTGGAGTTATTTTCACACTGATTAGGCCAATCGGCCCATTTCCTCAACCGGCATGCCTCTACAACACCGTCATACGGGATTTGACTTATCTGGCAATTTTCAATGTCGTTTAACATTCGGCAATACCTTCCTGACGATGTATTTTGGAACACATTTTTTATTTGTACCGATTGTGGTGTCAATGTTTCTCATTACAACGAAATCTCCCTCTAAGAACTCAATGTGGTTTTTGTGCTTCCTTTCAAAATACTCTTCACTCTTCTGCTGACTATGCTCAATTTTATCTAAAGATTTCTTACGTATTGATTCTAAATCACCTTTCGGTTGGTCTTGCTTGTCATCTAAATATTCTGTCAACGCGTCAATATTACAACCCCTTTGCTGAACTCCAAATAACAAAACTGTGGGCAATTCTTTCGTGGTCGAGTGCACTGAGTTGTTAATTGCAAATTCTGCCTTTATCAAGAGTTTACTCCAATCTTCGTGATTTATTGGCTCAGTTATTTTGGCCAACATAGCTTTTATGGTTCTGTTCACCCGTTCTACCTGACCATTCGCTTGAGGTGACGTAGTTGCTACTTTCACATGTTCTATATTATTTTCTAACAGAAATTTACTAAATTCTAATGATGTAAAACATGATCCTCTATCACTTATAATTCTACGTGGACGACTATAGAATTGAAAATACTTTAAAAAACAACTGTTGACTTCTTTCGTGCTTGTCGTATTTACAGAAAACAATTTTACAAATTTCGTAAACGCGTCAATGATGACTAGCACATGCTTTTTCTTTGATATAATAGCGGGAAGTGGTCCAAAATGATCTACGTGTAATGTATCAAATGGGATTGGTCGCTTAGGAATATTGTGAAGTGTTCGGTTGTTTGCGTGTGTGGGCACTGAAAACATTATGCAATTTAAGCAGTTTCCTATAAATGAATCAATTTTAAATCTCATATTCGGAAACCAATAGTGCCTTAGGATTTCTTTCATACATTTTTCAGTTCCTAAATGACATAACTTCTCGTGAACTCTTCTGATTATGTGCGTTTCCATTTCAGCTGGGACATAAAATAATTCGACATCATTCTCATTTTATCTATACACAATTCCATCACTCAAAGAAAATTTCTTAACAGGTCCATGTTCCAATTGTTCTTTCGATTTCTCTATATAGTTGTCTCTGTTTTGTGTTATCTGAAGCTGAAGACTAATGTCATCAATGTCAATTACGGAAACTATTCGGTCTTTGTTATCACTTTCATGAATTGTAACTACTGGCTCATATTCAAAATCTTGATTAAGCGCTGAAGGATATCTACTAAGCGTGTCAACATGGGCCATATATTTTCCACTGCGATGTTTCAGAGTGTAATTATAATTAGCTAACTCCATGGCCCATCTGGCAATACTTGAATTAAGGCGTCCTTTTCCTAAACATAAGACTACTGCGTTACAATCCGTTATAATTTTGAACGGAATTCCTTCTAAATAGATTCTAAACTTCCTTAATGAATAAATCACTGCTAATGTTTCGAGCTTGAAACTTTCATATCTTGCTTCTAGTTTGGTCGGTCTCTGTGAAAAAAATGCCGTTGGGTGAAACTTATCATCATTTTGTTTCTGCAACAAAATTCCACCAAAACCTTCACTACTTGCATCACAATGCAGCTCTGTTTCTCGATTTGGATTATAAAGAGCCAATACTGGGAACGAAATTAGTTTCTCTCGCAGATATTCAAAAATTTGTATGCACTTGTCTTGAAGTTCAAACTTAGCCCCTGGTTTCGTAAGTTCCTGTAATGGTTTTGCTATTTTTGAGTACGCCGGAATAAAACGCCTAAAATAGGAGAATAATCCTAAACACTTTTGCATTTCATGGCGATCCTTTGGCAACGGAAGATTCTTAATTGTTGCTGTGTGCTCGCAGTTTGGGCTTATTCCTTTTCCACTAAGTGTATATCCTAAGAATTCGATACTTTCATAACCAAATTGACATTTACTAATCTTAATTTCTAATCGATATTCAGGGAGAATTCTTAATACTCTACCTACTGTTATGAGGTGATCATTTAACGTTTTGGAACCTATAGCAATATCGTCCATATAAACTACTACATTACCTTCGCGAATTAATGGTTGCAAGATAAAATTAATAAATCTCATAAATACTGCTGGTGAATTCATAAGTCCGAAGGGCATTCTTGTATATTCATACTGACCACTAGGAATGACAAAACTTGTATATTGCACCGAATTCTCTGATACTTTTACCTGGTGATATCCGTGTTTCAAATCTAAAATTGTAAAAATTTTATTCCCTTCCAATCTCTCTAAACAGTCATCTATTAGAGGCAACGGATATCCATCACGAATGCATATCTTATTAAGCTGCCTGTAATCTACACACATTATTTTTTCTCCTGATTTTTTCTTAACTAATACTATTGCAGAAGTATAGGGCGAGTTACTTTCTCTTATAAAGCCTCTTTTCAATAATTCATCTATTTGGGCATCTACTTCTTTTTTCTCTTGGTATGAAAGTCTTCTTGGAACGGAGCGTACAGGTTCTTCTGTCTTCAGTTTTAGATTCATTTCATAATTATGCTGAATTGCTGGGATATTACTTAAATCTGAATAGTTAAATTTGATCACTTCAATGAATTTACTACGTTCTTCATCACTCCGCCTCGGGTCTATATTGAAGCAGTCATCTTCATTTGTTATATCAATACTATATATATATAGTATATCTATGTCAGATATTCCTAATGTTTCCTTTGCCATATGCTCATTATCTTTTAAAAAATAGTCACTACTTTTTAAATTTAACTGGTCACTAATCTTATCATCATTTCCATCCTTCACTAAATCATTGTTATTGCTATCTGATAATCTCAACTCATTATTTATATTTGTCAATACTATGTTTTCAATTGGGTCGCCGTCAATGTTTACCAATATTTTATTTTCAATTTCACTGTCAATGTTTACTAATACTCTTTTTTCAATTAAGTCACTGTCACTAATTTCTACAGTTCTGTTTTCTATTAAGTCCCTGTCACTGTTCACTAATATTCTATTTCCTATTAAGTCACTGTCACTGTTCACTAATATTCTATTTCCTATTAAGTCACTGTCACTGTTCACTAATATTCTATTTCCTATTAAGTCACTGTCACTGTTCACTAATATTCTATTTCCTATTAAGTCACTGTCACTGTTCACTAATATTCTATTTTCCATACTGACTTGCATTACTCGTTTTAAATTTTCAATTGTATTTTCAAAAATCAATTCCATAATGTTCAAGGAAACTACGCCCCAGAAGGACATTACTAGATACATAATTATTGGGTACAACGTAAAATATGAGTTCTTTCTCTATGTTATGAAAATTTACTTTAACAACTATTTTTCCAAAAGTGCTTATTCTTGAACCATTTACTCCACAATACTCAGTTGGTCTTAGTACATCATCAAAATTTACATAAGGCATCGCCGCACGCTGCCAACATGGCAGAAAGAAATTTAATATGATACCTGCGTTTTATATCAGTGTAAAAATATACCCCTACCTGATTCATAATAGGAACAAACATATTGTGCTGCTCTCCGTCGTCCATCATCGGCTGGTTGCTGGCTGTATTCACGGATCGTTGAGTTGGCACAGGCTTCTGTTGGCAATCCTTCACCTTGTGCTGCATGGACCCACACTGGAAGCACGATCCCTTCTCCCGCAGAGGTGCGGGACACGATGAAGCGTAATGTCCATGCGCTGAACAATTATAGCAGCGCACCTGGTTCTGGTCAGGTCCTGATGCACTCATCTCAGAGCGCTTGAAAGTCGTCTGGGTACTCTTCCTTAAAGCCTCGTATTGACGGGCCAGCTCCTTAAGTTTTCCAATGGTATGTATGTATGTCTCGCGTGCAAAACCGGCCGTTTGCTTGTGGGTGAAGAAGCGCATTAATTGGCTCGGTGGTACTCAAGCTGCCGAGGGCTGTCGGAGGCGAGAGCGGGAGCGTGAGCGTGGGCGGGAGCGCAAGCGTGGTGAATATGCGCTCGAGAGCGCGTCACCGGGTGAAAAAAGCTCCTAAGCGTGAGCGCGAGAGCGAGGGCAACAGCTTGCGTAGCTGGATTGCTAACATTGGTGTGGCTGGAATGCCCACAGAGCTGTTGCCCCGCCAGCGCCGTCCTCACTCTAAACAATACCCAAACATTTTGAGCACAGTCCCCAAATAATGCAAATTTCCCCAAAATATGCGTTAGTTATACAGAATGTCCCGAAAGTGCGCACTGTACATACATATTATTGTCGCAGAATATCCACGGATGTTTATTTAATTCTTTGATTTGTTCCGCAGGTCAAATGTTAGTACTCCTCTCAATTTCGTTCAGCCAGGAAGTGACTCTGTCTCCCTCGCTCCGATCTCTCGTTTAGTCCATCGATACTTATACGACCAAGACGATATTTTACGCAAGGTGCAAGAGTCGATATTATGTGGGTTAACAATACTAGTGATATTCCCTCTCTGACCTAATTCCACATAGTTCTAGTTCGCAGAACTAGAACTATCGAAACTTATTACGATATTTTATACAAGGTGCAAGATGAAATGTAAAAACAATTGTAGGTTAACGTTCATAACGTTAATAATAGTAATACAATCTAACAGCTCGGCCATCCTGACAATTAGATCGTCCTCGATCGTGAGTTTGTAATTAAGGTTAATTGTAATTATATGTGTATATATATAATATGTTAACTACTTAGGTTGGAGTTATTTTCACACTGATTAGGCCAATCGGCCCATTTCCTCAACCGGCATGCCTCTACAACACCGTCATACGGGATTTGACTTATCTGGCAATTTTCAATGTCGTTTAACATTCGGCAATACCTTCCTGACGATGTACGGACCCCTGTATTTTGGAACACATTTTTTATTTCTACCGATTGTGGTGTCAATGTTTCTCATTACAACGAAATCTCCCTCTAAGAACTCAATGTGGTTTTTGTGCTTCCTTTCAAAATACTCTTCACTCTTCTGCTGACTATGCTCAATTTTATCTAAAGATTTCTTACGTATTGATTCTAAATCACCTTGCGGTTGGTCTTGCTTGTCATCTAAATATTCTGTCAACGCGTCAATATTACAACCCCTTTGCTAAACTCCAAATAACAAAACTGTGGGCAATTCTTTCGTGGTCGAGTGCACTGAGTTGTTAATTGCAAATTCTGCCTTTATCAAGAGTTTACTCCAATCTTCGTGATTTATTGGCTCAGTTATTTTGGCCAACATAGCTTTTATGGTTCTGTTCACCCGTTCTACCTGACCATTCGCTTGAGGTGACGCAGTTGCTACTTTCACATGTTCTATATTATTTTCTAACAGAAATTTACTAAATTCTAATGATGTAAAACATGATCCTCTATCACTTATAATTCTACGTGGACGACTATAGAATTGAAAATACTTTAAAAAACAACTGTTGACTTCTTTCGTGCTTGTCGTATTTACAGAAAACAATTTTACAAATTTCGTAAACGCGTCAATGATGACTAGCACATGCTTTTTCTTTGATATAATAGCGGGAAGTGGTCCAAAATGATCTACGTGTAATGTATCAAATGGGATTGGTCGCTTAGGAATATTGTGAAGTGTTCGGTTGTTTGCGTGTGTGGGCACTGAAAACATTATGCAATTTAAGCAGTTTCCTATAAATGAATCAATTTTAAATCTCATATTCGGAAACCAATAGTGCCTTAGGATTTCTTTCATACATTTTTCAGTTCCTAAATGACATAACTTCTCGTGAACTCTTCTGATTATGTGCGTTTCCATTTCAGCTGGGACATAAAATAATTCGACATCATTCTCATTTTATCTATACACAATTCCATCACTCAAAGAAAATTTCTTAACAGGTCCATGTTCCAATTGTTCTTTCGATTTCTCTATATAGTTGTCTCTGTTTTGTGTTATCTGAAGCTGAAGACTAATGTCATCAATGTCAATTACGGAAACTATTCGGTCTTTGTTATCACTTTCATGAATTGTAACTACTGGCTCATATTCAAAATCTTGATTAAGCGCTGAAGGATATCTACTAAGCGTGTCAACATGGGCCATATATTTTCCACTGCGATGTTTCAGAGTGTAATTATAATTAGCTAACTCCATGGCCCATCTGGCAATACTTGAATTAAGGCGTCCTTTTCCTAAACATAAGACTACTGCGTTACAATCCGTTATAATTTTGAACGGAATTCCTTCTAAATAGATTCTAAACTTCCTTAATGAATAAATCACTGCTAATGTTTCGAGCTTGAAACTTTCATATCGTGCTTCTAGTTTGGTCGGTCTCTGTGAAAAAAATGCCGTTGGGTGAAACTTATCATCATTTTGTTTCAGCAACAAAATTCCACCAAAACCTTCACTACTTACATCACAATGCAGCTCTGTTTCTCGATTTGGATTATAAAGAGCCAATACTGGGAACGAAATTAGTTTCTCTCGCAGATATTCAAAAATTTGTATGCACTTGTCTTGAAGTTCAAACTTAGCCCCTGGTTTCGTAAGTTCCGTAATGGTTTTGCTATTTTTGAGTACGCCGGAATAAAACGCCTAAAATAGGAGAATAATCCTAAACACTTTTGCATTTCATGGCGATCCTTTGGCAACGGAAGATTCTTAATTGTTGCTGTGTGCTCGCAGTTTGGGCTTATTCCTTTTCCACTAAGTGTATATCCTAAGAATTCGATACTTTCATAACCAAATTGACATTTACTAATCTTAATTTCTAATCGATATTCAGGGAGAATTCTTAATACTCTACCTACTGTTATGAGGTGATCATTTAACGTTTTGGAACCTATAGCAATATCGTCCATATAAACTACTACATTACCTTCGCGAATTAATGGTTGCAAGATAAAATTAATAAATCTCATAAATACTGCTGGTGAATTCATAAGTCCGAAGGGCATTCTTGTATATTCATACTGACCACTAGGAATGACAAAACTTGTATATTGCACCGAATTCTCTGATACTTTTACCTGGTGATATCCGTGTTTCAAATCTAAAATTGTAAAAATTTTATTCCCTTCCAATCTCTCTAAACAGTCATCTATTAGAGGCAACGGATATCCATCACGAATGCATATCTTATTAAGCTGCCTGTAATCTACACACATTCTTTTTTCTCCTGATTTTTTCTTAACTAATACTATTGCAGAAGTATAGGGCGAGTTACTTTCTCTTATAAAGCCTCTTTTCAATAATTCATCTATTTGGGCATCTACTTCTTTTTTCTCTTGGTATGAAAGTCTTCTTGGAACGGAGCGTACAGGTTCTTCTGTCTTCAGTTTTAGATTCATTTCATAATTATGCTGAATTGCTGGGATATTACTTAAATCTGAATAGTTAAATTTGATCACTTCAATGAATTTACTACGTTCTTCATCACTCCGCCTCGGGTCTATATTGAAGCAGTCATCTTCATTTGTTATATCAATACTATATATATATAGTATATCTATGTCAGATATTCCTAATGTTTCCTTTGCCATATGCTCATTATCTTTTAAAAAATAGTCACTACTTTTTAAATTTAACTGGTTACTAATCTTATCATCATTTCCATCCTTCACTAAATCATTGTTATTGCTATCTGATAATCTCAACTCATTATTTATATTTGTCAATACTATGTTTTCAATTGGGTCGCCGTCAATGTTTACCAATATTTTATTTTCAATTTCACTGTCAATGTTTACTAATACTCTTTTTTCAATTAAGTCACTGTCACTAATTTCTACAGTTCTGTTTTCTATTAAGTCCCTGTCACTGTTCACTAATATTCTATTTCCTATTAAGTCACTGTCACTGTTCACTAATATTCTATTTCCTATTAAGTCACTGTCACTGTTCACTAATATTCTATTTCCTATTAAGTCACTGTCACTGTTCACTAATATTCTATTTTCCATACTGACTTGCATTACTCGTTTTAAATTTTCAATTGTATTTTCAAAAATCAATTCCATAATGTTCAAGGAAACTACGCCCCAGAAGGACATTACTAGATACATAATTATTGGGTACAACGTAAAATATGAGTTCTTTCTCTATGTTATGAAAATTTACTTTAACAACTATTTTTCCAAAAGTGCTTATTCTTGAACCATTTACTCCACAATACTCAGTTGGTCTTAGTACATCATCAAAATTTACATAAGGCATCGCCGCACGCTGCATCAAATTAATAGCGCTACCGGTGTCCAACATGGCAGAAAGAAATTTAATATGATACCTGCGTTTTATATCAGTGTAAAAATATACCCCTACCTGATTCATAATAGGAACAAACATATTGTGCTGCTCTCCGTCGTCCATCATCGGCTGGTTGCTGGCTGTATGGACCCACGGACCCACACTGGAAGCACGATCCCTTCTTCCGCAGAGGTGCGGGACACGATGAAGCGTAATGTCCATGCGCTGAACAATTATAGCAGCGCACCTGGTTCTGGTCAGGTCCTGATGCACTCATCTCAGAGCGCTTGAAAGTCGTCTGGGTACTCTTCCTTAAAGCCTCGTATTGACGGGCCAGCTCCTTAAGTTTTCCAATGGTCGTCGCTGAATACAATAAGGCGATACTGGTAGAACGATCGCGAAAACCATCAATGATAAACTGAACCGTTAATTTTTCTTCGATGTCGGCACGCATAGCAATTTCTTCCATCAGAAGAATGTATCCCATTACGGAGTTCTTCCCTGGATTGAAAGTGGTTTACTTCAAGAGCAGTACCACATCAGCAGTTGAATTACTGCGACCAAAAGTTTCAGGAAGTTTTCTTTAAACTCATCGTAAGTCTTCGATTTGTCGACACGCATGAACTAGTCCGCCTCGGTTCCCGCTTTCATCAACATTCGCACACAGCGAAGTCGAAAATGGTTGCTTTCGTTCACGCCTCTGCACATCCGTTCAAAATCCAAGATCCATTTGGAGCCTTCATCATTTTCACTGGCGGAAAATGGGACAACAAGCTGCTTAACCATTCGGATATCGTCCGTCACATTATTATCCATTGTCATTAGAGCAGCTAGTTTCTTCTTCTTCTCAGCCACCCTAATTGCTGCGTCAAGCAAGTCTTCTTCTTCTTTTAAATCGTCCATCTGATCGCTTTCAGACACTTTTCCCTCTATGTTAACGTTATGGTGGTTTTCAATTTCCAATTTCTCCAGACTTCCAGATACCTCCTCCATTCCACCACTTATGGCAAGTTTGCGTAGCTGTCTTAGTGTTGCGCTGGCTGGAAAAATTATCTCATTCTCCAGCAGCCACTCTGTAATTTTTTCTTTGTTCATCATTTCATCAGCCATTTATGAAATGATGAAAATACTTATTGTCGTGGATGCCACTGATCCTATACTTATGTAGGCTTGTACTTTAAAGTGTCTCGATCCCACTTCTGAAGTTATTGTCGCAGAATATCCACGGATGTTTATTTAATTCTTTGATTTGTTCCGCAGGTCAAATGTTAGTACTCCTCTCAATTTCGTTCAGCCAGGAAGTGCCTCTGTCTCCCTCGCTCCGATCTCTCGTTTAGTCCATCGATACTTATACGACCAAGACGATATTTTACGCAAGGTGCAAGAGTCGATATTATGTGGGTTAACAATACTAGTGATATTCCCTCTCTGACCTAATTCCACATAGTTCTAGTTCGCAGAACTAGAACTATCCAAACTTATTACGATATTTTATACAAGGTGCAAGATTAAATGTAAATACAATTGTAGGTTAACGATAATAATAGTAATACAATCTAACAATATACATATATATAGTAACATATCCATAATGCCCTAAACCTACATACGCATTAAGTATACGTTAAGCACTTGACATATTCATAACCACACCCACAACCATACACGTTATGTATATGCCCAGCACTCACCCCACACCCATGTATTCGCATCTATATGAAATAAGATAAACATATAAGAAGATACCCCAACAGCTGAACAAACAACGCATGATTCGTCCATACCGAAATCAACAGGAAGTCCCATGCAACCCAAAACTCGGGAATGCAATAGAACGTCGCTGACCAATACGTTATCAGCTCGTTCCCACACTCCACACTATGACTAATTCCGAATCAGTCCCACATTCCAATAGAAGGGAGAACTCTTGTAAACAAGTGAGTTCTCAAGATGAAAGCTGACACCAATCACCAGCTGCGGCTACCTGTTTCATCTAAGCCGACGCATCTCCCAAGCCTCCCACACATAGGCCAACGCATCGCTTATCAGCCGCTCTCACCAAAGCAACGCCTCTCACAACCGAAGCTTCGCCTCTCTCAGCCGAAGCCATCATCACTCAATCACGAAGACGAAATATCAGCCGAAGCCGAAAGCTTAAGGAGATAAGCTTTAAGCTTCCCAACAGAGGTCTCGAGATCAATAACTCGAGAACAAGAAGACAGTTCCGTTTGAGACTTTCTAACATTGAGTTGGGGAATTCATTATCATATCCTATGTTCTATTTTATAAGTTCGGTTAAATAAAATATCTTTTTAAAAACCTACTTGTGAACTCGGGAATTCTTATTGGCGCAGCCGGTAGGATTTACAAACACTAACGTTATTGTTCCGGTACTAATCTATTAGAAGCAATCTAAACGACTAGATTGCTGGTGATTAGCGAAGCAAGTTAGACAAAGTGAATCCGCCAAAGAACCTAGGTGCAACGCAGCACTAGGCCAAACACAAACGTTAAACAAAACAATAATTGTGTAACCCAAAATCGCAACGATTATATAAATCACCAACAGCAACGATTTAAATAAATCAACAAGTAAATAATCCATTGAGTGAAACACGTGAAGTGAACTACAAATCAAAATGGCATTACCACCTGCAATCCTTAGTGAAATTCACCTAAATCAAGCACTACTGTCAATTCGACAAGTGCCAGCCTATGACGGATCAGCTGGAAAGCTGAGCTCCTTCATTAAACGCGTTGAGTACATACATGAACTATACCCGACGCAAGACGCCAGACAGTCACGAATACTGTTTGGAGCAGTTGAAGTGCAGCTGATCGAAGAAGCACAACGACTCTCACAATTGGTGCAACCTAACACCTGGACGGAACTGAAGAATGCTCTGATAGACGAATTCAAGGACCACACACCCTACGAAGAACTTCTGCGACAAATCTATTTCACCAAATTCAACGGGAGCCTTCGTAAGTTTGTAGAAGATCTAGAAACTAAAGTCCTTGTAGTCACCAATAAGCTAGCATTAGAAAACAGTGCAGCCAACACCCTGATCTATCACAACGCATTAAATAACACAATTAAAGATGTAATATCGCGTAAACTCCCCGATAGAACATTTATGACCTTAGTCCGAAAAGACATAACAACACTGTCTAAACTTAAGAAAGCCGCTCAAGAAGAAGGCTTATACGAAGCTAAGATAGAAAATAAGAATACCAATAAAGATCAGCATAAACCACAGCAGTCCGCTCAGAAGAATAATGGGAATTATTACCCAATCTTTAGTAATAATACACAACAGGCTCAGAATCCATTTGGTTCAGGTACATCTAGAAACAATAATAACAATCCTGGATTGCAACAGGAGTTTCGTAACTCCTTGAATAAAGGCCAAGCACAGAATCCAGCTAATTATCAAATGAATCAGAACCAAGCTAGTGGCAGCAGACCCAATCAACCTACTAAAAGGATTAGGGAAAGTCAAAGCGACCAAATGAAAATGGATGTAAATTTTCATCAAACAGCCTCGGGAAGAAACCGAGGGGGATCCTATATAAACATAAAATTAAATAACAAAATACTTAGAGGTATCGTGGATTGGGATCATCAATAAACATCATAAAAGAAAACATTCCGAATGCCCCCATAAATATAGAAAACCTCAAGGTCCATACCATCAACGGACCAGTTAAGTTAACCAAAAGTATAGTTAGGCCCCCCAACAAAGTCTGTCCCAGTGAGCAGAAGTTCTACCTGTATAACTTCTCGGACAACTACGATATCCTTCTAGGAAGAGAATATCTGATGGCTAGCAAAGCCATAATTAATTACAGTGACAATACTGTAAAGTTAGGAGAAAGAACATTCCCAATCATTATTAGTGGAGAAGCAATTGAAGAGGTTAAGACCGCACATAAGTGCAAAGATACATCTTCGGAAGAAGATATTATCGCACAGAAGTTCCTTAGCTCATCCTCAGAAGGGGATCAATACTTCACTTCTGCTATCGACAATGAACTAAAGGGAATGTCACGAGCTAAGGCTTGAGCATCTGAACGATGAAGAGAAAGAAAAATTGAAGAAGGTGTTGTATGAATTCAGCGATGTGCAGTACAGAGATGGTGACAATTTGACCTTCACAAGTACTGTCAAACATCCGATTCAAACACAACACGAAGATCCGGTATACCGAAAGCCATACAAGTATGCCCAAATACATGACGAAGAAGTCAATAAGCAAATCAAAGAAATGATTGAGCAAGGAATAATTCGTAAATCGAAATCGCCTTACTGCTCCCCCATTTCAATGATTCCGAAGAAGATAGACGCTTCCGGAAAACAGAAGTACAGGTTAGTTGTAGACTATAGAGGTCTCAACGAGATAACCATAAAGGATAAGTTTCCAACTCCCAGAATGGATGAAATCCTAGACAAATTAGGAAAATGCCAATACTTCACCACAATCGATTTGGCAAAAGGTTTCCATCAAATCCCAATGGAACCTAACTCGATCGCGAAAACCGCTTTTTCCACCAAACATGGTCATTACGAGTATACTCGAATGCCATTTGGGCTAACCAACGCCCCTGCCACATTCCAAAGATGCATGAACGATCTTTTGGAAGACTTAATTTTCACCGACTGTTTGGTGTACTTAGACGACATAATAATTTTCTCCACTTCATTGGACGAACACCTTCTGTCTCTAAGAAAAGTCTTTGGCAAGCTGAGAGACGCAAATCTCAAGCTACAAATGGATAAATGTGAGTTTCTGAAGAAAGAAACTGAGTTCCTAGGTCATATAGTGACACCCGAAGGAATAGTGCCAAATCCTAACAAGATCATAGCCATCACAGGGTTTCCCATCCCCGAAACCACGAAACAAATCAAGTCATTCTTAGGATTGGTCGATCAGATTGAGTTGATCAAGGGAGATGAAGATAAAGTAACTACACAACACTATTTCCATAAATTGATTATCAAAATCACATACAAGGAAATGACCAACACCTTGGCTAAAGAACTCATTAAGGAATATCTATGTACCAAAAAGAGTGCATTATATGTTCATAACGAGACTGATTTCCCAATTTTCCAACAAGCGTATTTAGAAATTATCAGCCCAAACAATTTCACAAAAGTTATGAAATCAAGTTCAAAACTCATAGACATACCCAACTACGCAGAATTCAAAGAATTGATAATGAAAAACCACAAAGAATTACTTCACCCTGGAATAGAGAAAACCATCAATTGGTTTAAGGGAAAACACTACTACCCTGACCACCAAAAATTGATACAAAACATAATAAACGAATGCACAACGTGTAATATTGCCAAGACCGAGCATAGAAACACCAAGTTGTCATTTGAAGTAACACCGAAAGTCTTAAACATCCGAGAGCGTTACGTAATGGACTTCTATCTGATAGGTAACCAACAGTTCCTATCATGTATCGATATATACTCAAAATTCGCTACACTAATAGAAGTG